TTTGACGAGTATACTCGTCATGGAGACGTTTCAGGATTTTGTGTCATGAGTATACTCGTCATGGTAAAAGTAGTGGCCATTGGATATTTAAATTGTAATTTCTGTGAAAAGCCTATGATCGCTACTTTTTACCATGACGAGTATACTCGTCATGACACAAAATCCTGCAGCTTCTCCATGACAGTTAACTGGTTAAATATATTTGAGGAATTCATTTATGGAATTAAAATTTTCTATTTTCTATGTAAATAAGTGTTGAATGTTAGGATTGTTTTATAAAATTATTCAAAGAATCTTGTTTCTTATTTTTGGTATTTTCTGTGAGAGAAAATTTAAGATTTTAATGGACTTTCGAGTGTACTTTTATTTGTCACAGTTTTTTGAAGTTTTTAAAGATTTTTTGTAATGTATAAGAATGTATAACATTTTAAGTGAACGGTGTTATATTAATGACAGCTAATTCCCGCGAAATTTGACGCTGGCATACCAGAGGGTTTATTAGAAATCGTTATTCGATGAAATATTTGGACTCGTGAGAAGTCAGACCACACGATTCGATAATTTGTGGAGAAATTTTAGTAAATGGAACTTCGAAATACTTGTGGAAGAAATGTGAGAATATTGAATAACGAAGCATTTTGTCTTTGAGCTTCATTGCTTTGAATATTTAAGTTGGAAATTTGTACGTCTGACTGTGGAAGTCTTTTTCTACTGTGATCGTCTAGTGGTAGTTTTAATAGTTAGATTTGTATGGGCTGGATTTGTATTTAAGTTAGATTGTGAGAGTGTTAATTTTGACTTGTTATATGAGACAACAGTAAAGATAAATTGCTGATATTTAAAAATAATTTTTCCGTTGTTTAATTCATACCAAATTTTAATTATCCATTAATTTGTATATTGTACATAGTTTTCAATATATTATGTTTCTTTATCTACAATATTTTAATATTCTTCATCTTTCATTTCAACTTTTATATATTATTAGACCCAGTAAATTGAAAAAGACATGATCATCGTTATAACTATTGTTACTATGATGATTCTACGGTTTCCCGATAATCAGTTCGCATCAAATTTCAAAATTGAGTCGCGGCGCAGTGCTGAAAATTACGGTAAACGTTACCTTAATTAGAAACGACCCACTGTAAGCAAACACGCGAGCTGATTGGCGCTCGGGTTTCAACATTGATGTAATTGGAAACAATGCGTGCCACAAAAGAGTTTCACCCCGCATTACCGAGCAATCTTTGTGCTCCCGGATACAAAACACTTCACGCGGAAGCCAATCTGTTTTCCGAAAGATATTCATTTACGTTATTCAACGTCGTCTCCCACGTACATTGATAAAACGGGAGAGTTTATATTAAAATAATACCTTTTCATTCCGCTTTAATTGGAGTTCTCTTCCTGTTGCATCACAAACGCTTTGACGTTCTAATATTCTTTACCTTTCGCGTTTCAGCGAAACTCAGTTATGTTTGTTAGTATTAAATCATCTTGCACTGCGAGATGCTACATTACTAAACATTCATAAATCGAAAATACAAGAACGAACAATCATTAACACGAATAATTACCAACAAATCTATTATTACAATTAAACGTCCGTCAATAAATCATCGATTCACGACCACCGTGAACATTCCATTTCAATCACCGAAACAATCAAACCACCCCGCAATTCGCCAAGTAGAACACGCCTCCGCTGGTCAGACAAACAAAACAAAAATCCCAGATGTTTCCATCAAGGTAAACAAAATATAACATTTCACAGTGGAACAACCGTTTCCAACAGAATATCCCGTGGCGCAAAGGGAGCATATCCCAAAAAAATACAACACTCAAATAAAAGGGGATGTGAAACGATGTACACCGACGCGGGCGAAAAAATTTCAACGGAAAAAAGGGACGAAGACAGACGCTGTGGAACTTACAGCGAATGGAATCTCAGCCGCGAAAGGAGAAATTCGCTCGTTTCGTGAGTCGTTGATATCTGTTTTTCAATCAGAAACGAAGAAATGAAAAAGAAAACGAAGATGGCGGCGAAGCGAACCACAACGATGAGATTCTACCCCGTTTCCCGTGAAATTTATCATCAGCACTTCCCTCGCTCGACGAGAAAACATTGCGCATTGCAGGCTTAATTGCGAGTACCCCTTTCATCGCGGTAGCACTCGCGAACCGAGCAGCGACGGAACCTTAATTAAGCAACTTTGAATAGGTATCACCCTTTTATCAGTTTCTTCCACTGGCAGACGTAACACCGTGGGGGGAGAGGGGCAAGAATAGGATAACAAGAATCGTTGGTGCACGAACGAACATTCGTGGGGCCGGGCGGACACGTATCTCGAATTCGAGCACTTCTCGCGACAGATTAGATAAGACAGGGCACTTCTTTTCGAGGGCGGATTCGAGGGGGTTGGCGCGTTACTTTTCTTTCTTCGAGATGGTATCTTCTTCTGGATTTTCTTTCTGAGAGTCGAAGATTGTAAGATGTACTGTATGTGTGGATAATTCTATTTTTAATAATAATTTTGTGTTCTTTTTTTTGTTATTTTTATTGGTTGCGTTATTTTTGCGTATTATTGTTGTGGTTCATTGTTATTTTATAGTATTATTAGGTGTATAGTAGTTTTGAAGTATTGTTACTATTTATTAAGTTATTGTTTGTAACATAATTTTGTTGTGCTTATATGCTTCTATCAGTTGGATATAATGGACTTTTAATATATTTTTGCGAGGAAATTTTTCATGCGAGACATTCTGTATGTGTGGATAGTTCTATTTTTAATAGCAATTTTGTGTATATTGTTTTTTGCTGTTTTTGTTGGTTGTGTTATTTTTGTGTATTATGGTTGGGGTTCATTGTTATTTTATAGTATTGTTAGGTGTATAGTAGTTTTGAAGTATTTCTACTATTTATTAAATTATTGTTTGTAACATAATTTGGTTGTGTTTGTATGCTTCAGTTTGATGTAATGGACTTCTTAATACATTTTTGCGAGGCAATTTCTCATGCTCGATAAGAGCCACGTGTTCTTTAAAGGAAAGTTTCAAAGGAACAAGGGGATGGGGAACGTTCGTGATCGGACAAGGCAAACTTTTTACTTTCCTTCTTTCAAGGATTGTCTTACAAATCCTGGAACTGTGTTGTATGAAATATCAGAAAAAAGTAATTTTCGCAGGAGGTAAGGAGATAAGGCTCGTTCATGGTCAGACAAAACATAAGGATTTCAAAGTTTGTTCTGCTGAGAATTGTTATCGTATCTTCCATAAGCACCTTGTAGCTGTGCTGTATCTAACTTTTAAAAAGAGTAAAGTATCGTTTGTGATCAGATAGGAAATAAACATTTACAACCTCTCATCTTTGAACGATTTTCTTGAAAGGAGATAATGATTGTCTTTGGTCAGACAGTGTACAAGTACTTTTAGTTTTATACTTTCAAGACTAATCTTATAAATTTTTATTATGTACAGTGCTGTTTCACATAAAATGCTTCAAAATGTCATTTGTATACTTGGCGAGGGAAGAAGGATCGTATGTGCTCAGACAAAGAATAAATGTTTGTAAATTCCTTCACCCAAGGATTATCTCATGAATATTCCAAATATGATTATGTATGACATTTTAAAAGTACAATTTCCCATGCAGTAAGTAGAAAGGGATCGCTAATGGCCAGACATGGAATATTCTCCTTTGATCTTTAAACTGGCGAATGCATCAGAGACATATCTTTCAAGAGGTATTTCAGAAACCACGCTGGAAAAACCACTAAATCATCGCATCTACCAGCAGAAATGTTTTCTGCAAGTCGCCTCTCTCTCCCAGTAAAATTCTCAGAAAATTCTTTGTCGTAATCCAAATTGTGATCCGAGATACGAAAGTTTTAATGAATAAAGCAGTTAACATTTTTTGGCTCGTTCGCATTGTTCATGACCTCTAAGGAATGATGCATTGCTATCTAGAGTTGACAGAATGCTCACGAAAGACAACGACTGTTGGCATCCCGCCCTTTCGCTGCTCACTTCCTGTACATCGAATAGGGGAGACTATAAAAACGTACTGACGCGTCACGGACACATTTCCATCGAAAAAAAGAGCTCTTAAAAAAAAGCAGAGCCCTGTATCAATTTTTTCCATTAAAAATCTCGCACAAATTGCATTAGGTACGGTCCTCAATTTTCTAAAAATTTTGTAACAGAGTTATCGAGTTTTTAATCTATCTACAGACTTCGCTCGGTTCCCTGGGGAACGGGCTGACTAGGCACGGTCTCATTTCACTGTGTCAACCAATTTCATTTTCAAACACTAAAATTTTCATCCGGTTCCCTTTCAACCAACAGTTAGGTATCAAATTAGCGTTTATCATATAAATTAGAAAATTAACATTCCCGTAATCCGCATTTCCGCTGATTTCTAGCAGAGTGAACTAGAGTACAGTTACCTCAAACAAACCCCATTAGTAAATTACTGAATTAGCAACCAGCATAAAATGCTCATTCGCGTCTTTCCCTTTGTACCTACATTTCTATCTTATTTAATTTACCGTCCTCCTAATTCCAAATGCAACACGACTAATTTATACACTTTTCATCCCCTAAATTAATCAATCCCAATTTACCCTTGAATCTTCCGGAAAATACCTACCATTCAATTCCGTTGTCTCCAATTTGAAATTGCACCGGAACTTCTGATCTGTAGATCGATCTGATGAAAAACCACCCCTACAAATCGTTAATCTGTCTCTCGTAGCCACCCCATCCCCCGACATCTCACTCGAATGGAGCAGAATTGTCGTTATCAACAAGTATAGCAGAATCCCGGCCGCTTTCGGTCGGCCGATTCCCCAACCCCTCGATGCCGAAAGGAGGGACCCACCCTGGGAATCACTGCCAAGATCACAACGGTTCACCCCCCGAAACTGAAACGGAAGGGAGCAGCGGCGGCCGGTGTCACGCACAGCCAGATTTGCATCGAAAAGTTTAGTAGCCGGTACCGTTAGACAACAGGTAGCATGTCCCACGACACGCGACCTGTTCGACTCGCTAGGGGATCGGGGTGGGGACGGTTTTGCTGCTCACTGGATGTTAGCGGCTCGCCTCAGGCCCGGCTCACTTCGCCGCTCGCGATTCACCAGGTCACACCGAATCTCACATGATCGTCCGGAATCTGTTCACAGAAATTAACACTGACGCACGGTTCGGACACTTCCGCTACGATATTCACTGGGACAGGCAACAGAGTTTGAGAAGGTTTGGAATTGTAGAAGGAGGTTTGAATGAAACGGATGATTAGTAGATTTTTAGCTCTGGAATTTTTGAGATGAAGATTTAAATTGGAAATGGAAATAAGAGATGTGTGTTTGTGGAGGTTTGATGAGGATTGTTTGAAGTTATTTGGAGAGGATGGTTGCAGTTTGTGGTTTTGTGAAGATTGTTTGGGTAGGAATGATTAGAGAGATGGGAAGAGGAGAATTGAGGTTTGAATAAGTTTGAGTTGGTAGGTTGGCTGGTGTTTGATTGGTATTTTTTAATGGCCTGCTGTAAATAGGTGATTAATATTAATTTCGAGATGATTGAGTGGGGAAAAGCGAGGAAAGAGAATGTGAGAACGATTTATTTGAGACTCTTTTGTTTCTGTAAGTTTGTTCAGAATCTTCTTGAAGATAATACTGATAGCATACATTTCGAGAAAGTGAAAAGGTTAATGAGAAGTTTATTCGAATTCTCCTTGTCTTGAATTTATTATCTCGAACCTTAATGCTGTGGTTTGTCAAAAAGAATCGTTAACTGTATAGCTTATTAACCATTTGACATTCAGATTTTTCAGTTGGGAACTCAAACATGTTCACGAAATAATTAGGTCACGAGTAATTAATTGCAAACAGAAAATCAAATTACATAAAGGTCGCATTCCCTGCCAGCCTGTTTGTTTTTCATTTGCAAAATGAATCGTTGATAGAAAGAAATAAAACCATGTTAACAATTCTTTCAACCTGAGAATACGTTTTCAAACCAACATGACCAACATTATTTAAAACGAAGTTCCAAGCTAACAAAAATATCAAAAACCATTCTGAAAATTAAAAACAAAATCCCCATGTCATATCTCGGAACCTAAATACTTCAGAATAAAAATGCTCACTCGTTCCACCGGAATAATCCCGCAGACACTATAATCGGAAAGTGACAAGGGTAATCGAAAAGTACTCAGCAGAAGACAAAAAGGCACCCTTGAACAAAGAAGTTCACCGGCGCCACGTGCTTGCCAAAAAAGGCCACCAGATTTTCACGTTCCTGGTGCCAAGGAACCCATCCCCAGGGTCACGTCTTCTTGATCTCAGCGAGATTGGTCCATCAAAACAAACCCGACTCGTGCATAAAACAGTCTCATTACACCAGCCGAATAAAGGCATCTACATCGACGTCACCAACGTTCACTCTCCACCCAACAAAATGCTCCAACAATTCAAAGATTCACCGAAACCCAAAAACAATACACCACAGGAAACAATTGCGATCTATACCCTAGAATGATCAAAGATGATCCTGCCTCTTAAACACCATCAAACCTCACTACACTCCAGGGTGCTAAAGCTGCAGCTCGTGAACCTGGATACGAATCCTCTTTCACGAAATGCAAACTTTCACTCCGCACGTATTCCTTCGCACACAGACACCGATGCCTAACCCTATCGAGCCGCCAATCGTGTCCTTTTACCCTACTTTCACCCTGCAAGTGGCTGTACCAAAGTTTCCCAGTAGAGTCATCTAAAGTGTCCTCGAAAAAAGCCCTGGAATTTACGTCACTGTCACTGATCACTGATGCAAAACTACCAAGAACGGTTCACGAGTGAATGGCTCGGACTGATTTGACAGAGATTTGACAGTCTGGAGGGTGTCGAGCGGCCGGGGGATGGGGATGATGACGAGGATCGGACTGATGAAGGAGGATTTACGGTGTAATAACTGTTTTAGCGAGAAAGTTGATACCGCGAGGTGGCTCGGTGCACCCGAGCCGAGACGATGAACTCGTGCGCCGTCGTATTGACGTTGACGGCGGCCGAGACCCGACTGACGGAACGATTCTCTCTCCGGCGTCGCTGTGGCACAGTAACGTAGCATCCGGAAAAGCTAGAGGGTTTCCGTGACCCAGTGGCACCTCTGCGACGACGCCGGGTAAGTTTTTCTTCGGCGATAAATTATTCTGCGATCGCTTTAATCTCGATCACGAAGATGATAGTACGGTGAAGTTAACTTATGATCGAGTAAATAATTGTTGTATAAACTTTTAATGTCATCGTGTTCGTCTGGGAATTTTCTTTTTTAAGGGACTACTTGAGACGTTGTTTTGAGTATGATAGAATTGGGGAATGTTTTTGTTATTGATGTGAAATATTTATTATTTAAGCTTCAAATATTTATTTTTCTATTTTGCCATGCAAATTTCTGCTGTTTGTGGGATGTTAAACGGTTATGTAGTCGCTTCAAACTGGAACACGAGAACTCTACAGTTAACTTATGATCGAGTAAATAATTGTATAAACTTTTAATGTCATCATGTTCCTCTGGGAATTTTCTTTTTTAAGGGACTACTTGGGACGTTGGTTTGAGTATGATAGGATTGGGGAATGTTTTTGTTATTGATGTGAAATATTTATTATTTAAGCTTCAAATATTTATTTTTCTATTTTGCCATGCAAATTTCTGCTGTTTCTGGGATGTTAAACGGTTATGTAGTGGCTTCAAACTGGAACACGAGAACTCTACAGTTAACTTATGATCGAGTAAATAATTGTATAAACTTTTAATGTCATCATGTTCGTCTGGGAATTTTCATCTTTAACTTGAGATGTTAGTTTGAATACAACAGGGTTATGGTATATTTATTGCACTGGTTTCTTACGTCGAGAATATTTTTGTTTGTATGAAATGTTTATTATTCGAACTTCAAAATATTTATGATTCTAGCTTGCAATGTAAACTTCTGTTTCCGGGATGTTAAACAGTTACGCAGTGGCTTTAAACTGGGGCACAAGAAGAACTTCACAATTAACTTACGATTAATTGAATTAATCGTTATAAAAATATTTAATGTTACTTTTATGAGGCCATTTATTTTTTAAGGAGATCTTTCATGCAATTAATTTGTTCACGAAGAGGTCCGCGTAAACTTGTTTTATTACTCTTTTAAGGTAAAGAGTATTTTGTTATTTATATAGAATGTTTTTTATAACATCGTAAAATAGGTTATTTAATCTTGCACCGGCTATTTCGGTAATTCGATTTCCTGTTGCGAAACTCGCGCAGTAAATCCCGTGCATTGGACCTTGAATCACGGGTATCGAGCATTTATATTGGACGCTGGATCGTGAAATTTGAAACGCGAGTATTGCGTTCTAGATTTAAATCCCTCGTCGTAAATCTAATACTTATCACCTGCAAATGTAAACTTTGTTTGCGAATCGCTGGACCCTAGTTCTGGTCATGGACCTTGAAAACTAGATTTTAAACCTTCGAAAGTTAGCCCGTTTTTAGTAGAATTTCCATCTTGAACTTCGATTTCTACCTTCGACCTCTGAAAAGTTAACTTAGCTCTCAGTTTTGAAGTTCTTTTGGACCTTACAACTTCGATCTTTGATCCCCAAAATTCGATCTAGCCGAGAATCTTGACACCTCAATATTAAACGTTGAACTTTCAACCTTCCATCTTGTACCTTTGATCTTACATTCCTTAAAACTCGTCCTTCGCAGATTTATTGCTTCTTAAACCTTGAGCTTCGCACATCACTACAATCCTACTAAAAAAAATTAATGAAATTCCTAACCTCCAATAGCAGTACCCAAAAAATCGGTCTCAAATTGAAAATCTTTGATCCGATCTACATCGAAGTTACCCTACGCCGAAAGAAGAATTCCCGAAGAATGCGGAACATTAACACGTTGAATGCCATGGGGGTCACCGGTGACCCCGACCAAATCGAATTATTATAGTTGACTCAATGAAACGACGATTGTATGAAAACATTTCTATATTATAAATAATGCTACATAATACACTGACATTCAGCTAGATGAACGTGGAATAGTAATAACGCAATTCAGTCAAATGATTTAACACTAGAACTACTAAGCATTTAATACGATTAATATGCAATTCCTATAAAACTTGCAACAATAGATTATTTTTAATTTCTTCAGACACTCATTATAGTACTGAAATGAACCTATTTATTTTCAAAATCATTTCGAATATTCAATACTTCGAAGATGTCAATAACTCCTAAACAAAAAAATCGAAACCAGTCATTTTGACTGGTAGTTCTAGTGTTAATATTATATTTTTTCCATTCGGCGTATTTTCCTCTGTGAAATCGTGCGGCGTTCAACGTGTTAAATTCTAATCTTCAAATGGCTATCTCCGAAAACACAAATGGAATCTCCGAGTTCCGTGAACAACGCGTATTAAGCTGAGTGCTAGAAGACGCCTCGCGTTCGTCGTTGCAACGCTATTCCCGTTCCTCGAGCGGTTCTTTCGATTAAATGACGCGAATCGGGGACTGCATTCTGGCGCTGCGATGACCGGCACGTCCGCGGAGAAACAGCGCGAGCCGGAAATATCTGAATGGGCACGATAAACTGCGTTACACGCGGGAAGAAAAAGAAACGAATGCCACTGGCTAACACGTTGACTGCCACGGTGATCGCCGGAGCTTCGGAACTGCTTGAAAACAGTTACAATAAGGAAACTGATGTTCAATCTAAATTTTTAGTAACGCGAGACGCTAGATAATAGTGTAATACTATTACAAACTTCGTTTTGGAAGTTGGGAACGTTTTAGTTTGAAGTTAGATTTCATGGGACGCTTTATTTTGGAATTGGAAATGATTTTGTTTAGGAATTTGGAGAGATTTCATTTCAAATTTTAATTCGAAGATTGAAGACATTTAATTGTGAAATTTAGAGAGATTTTATTTTATATTTCATATTGATATTTAAGAACATTTTATTGTATATTTCATATTGATATTTAAGAACATTTTATTGTACACTTCGTTTTGTTGGATTAAATTAACATTTAATTTGCTTTGTTGACTAATTGAGATGTGTAATGTAGTCTTGCTATTTACCCTGCACTCAATTAAGCGATTATCGAAGTATAAAATATTGTTTGTAATTATAATGATGTTCATTTATTTGGTAGTGTTTATGAATGCATTGGCATTAACGGCAACATCCTTATGACAATTTGGTAATTTAAATTTTAATCTGTTTGGGTTCGTTTCCGTTGTGCATTTGGTTCAGACGGCAGATACCAATTGACCGTTAATATGTAAATAAATAAATAAACAAATAATGATTTCATGATTCGATGGTATGAATAAACAATGCTGTGCATTAATTGACTGGAGCGATACGTGTCAATAACTTCGGAACAGGATCCATTACATCGCGAATATTTTCGATTTTGAACTGGCACCAAATTTTTCAGTAGAACCAGTCGACCATTAAGCAGGCCCACGTAATTCCAGCGCCGTGTCAGATCGCCACGAAAATTCCCCGCGTCCCTGCTTAATTAATTCTATTGGCTAAATTCAATTAACTCGGTGTAATTAATTTCGCGAAATCCAACGTTCCCGGCCGCGCATTAACGGCGAATAATGCTTAATTAGAAAAAAAAGAAGATGAGAAGGAGAATCATCTCGGGAAAGTCGATTAAAGCGTTCGGAGTTTAAACTTTCGTGAAGAAACATTCTTTTTTTAAAGTTGTCGCGAAGCTTACTGCTTAATAGTAGTTGAGCTTTAATTGAAATAAAGGAACTAATCGTAATGAAGTACTGATTGAAAATAGGTATTAATTTATGTTACTGTTCAAAGTTATCAGTACTATTATATTAACCATTTAGTAAGATTTCAAAGTGACTATTAGTTTGAGTTATTAATAGTTGTCACTATTAGCACGTTAACTATCTGGTATTAGTTCAAAATAACTATTAACTTTAGTTATTAATTAAAATTACTACTATTACGATATTAATTATATCTACTAAGATATAGAAATGACCATAGATTCATCTTGTCAACCAAAGCTACCACCATTACGACATCAACCAACTACTATCATCTAAAAATAACTATTACCTTCACTTACTAATCAAAATCACCACTATCACATCTTAACTATATATACTAATACTCAAAAATAACCATAGATTCATCTCATCAACCAAAGCTACCATCAGTACCACATCAACCACTACCATCTAAAAATAACTATTACCTTCACTTACCAATCGAAATCACCATCACATCTTAACTATCCACTAATCCCCCAAAAGACCACAAATTCAATTCATCAACCATTTACTATAATCCATCACCGTCCACCAATCCAGCCTACCAATCATACCTAACAACCATTAGCACCAACTACCACCACTAAACACCACTTAACTTACCCCCAAAAAAAAATCTGCTCTGGAAGGGACTTTTTACCCGTCTCGCAAATTGCCATCACTATACCGAGCCGATCGATCGCGGGAACAATCACGAGCTTTTTTCCGGCGGAACGCGACGCGTCTATGCATTTTCCATAAATTGCGCTCTTTTTCGCCGTGAATCGATCCTGGGGCAATAGCACGCACCGTAAATCACGGGATCCGCGTTGTTGCAACGGTGGAAAGAATAAAAGCGCGCGACCCCGTTCCGTGCCTTAAATTTTCGAGCGCTGACTGCCCAAGGATCCCGCGACTGACAGCGAGGAGAACGAACGTCCAGCATTTTCATCGAACATTTTCGGGTACCCGTTTGAACACAGTGAAATTTTTATTTTCGAGTTTTATTCAGCGAGACATTGAAAGCGGCCGCGAACGAATCGCGCTGGTTTTCGAACTTGTTCGACTTTTGCCGCTCGATTTCGGTAATGGACTTTTTTATAACAATATTTTTCATTGGACATTGTTCCATGGTTGTCGTGTGTTTGAGGTATTGTTCGGAATGTGAGAATATGTGTCGTGGAAACGATTTTATGGGGTTTTCTGGAATTTAGTGGTATTGAGGTGTTGAATGTTGTATTTATTATTGTTTATAT